GCTGTATATATATATATATATATATATATATATATATTGTTATTAGTTAGTAATAAATTATGTATAAATATATTTTTTGATAATTTCAAATTTTTAATGGTGATTTGGGATTTTTTTTTTGTTATATGCTATATTTCCTTTTTTTGTTTTTTAGATTTTTATGAATTCTTTCAAGCTATAACAAATTTTCACTATTCTATCATGTATATGTTTTTTCTGTCTTTTGAAGACTTAATGTTGTTTATTACCTATTTTTTGTCGTTCCTTTTTTTTTATTTAAAAAAAAAAATTTTGTATTTTATTTTGTAAATCTTGAACCTTTTTGGGCTCGTACATTACTCAGGGGTGCCCACTTGGATGCACACCAGTTAGAGAGAGTTTTTGCCCATTGGTCCAAACTGCAAAGTAGGTATTTTAAAAAGTTTGTTAAGTGGGATATGGGCTTGGCCTTGAATGGTAAAGGTCTACACAGTGACAATGCTACATCTCAAATTTGATTCTGACAAAAAAAAAAAGGTGTCTTGAATAATAATTTAATATATTTTTATAATTTTTTTACCGTTCCTTTAATCTTTTCTCTTATTTTTTGTTATGTTATAGGTATTTTATTTTTGACTTTGGACTATATTGTTAGGTTTTTCTCTTATTTATCAACTATTTTTGGGTATTTTGTTTTTGAATGTAGATAATTGCAGGAACTAGTTGGTTTAGTACACATAATTTATTTTGACAAAAACTCATAGAGAATTTCTTCTTTGGTAAGCTATAGATGATGTATTAATGAATATTATATGTAATAATTATTAGATTTCCCAATACCATGAGGTGTGTATGTGACTAAGAGCTCCAAAAGACTTACTTGGCTATGGGCTTTAGGTCACATGCTTAAACAAACTCACAAATACAACCATTTGAAGGTTGCCTTATGTTCTTCAAGGTGACTCACCAAATTGACTGTTGCCTTGAAGAGAATAAGGAATAATTTTTAGGAACAACCACTCCATTGGTTTGATGTATCATCAAAATGTAGGGTTCCTTAAGGCACTTTAAAATGAATTGGAATAGAAACAAGCTTCTGGAAGTCCTCAATATGAAGGCAAATTGTTTTTTGCAGGCTAACCCCCTAGCCCGCATAAAATCTCCAACGTCCAACTTGTTTGGATAGTGGAGATTAAGCCTACATAAAAACTGTGACCTGATATGCAACATATTTTTCTTACATAAATCATACATGGATAAATTTATTATTTATCCACACCACAAAAGCCTGCTACTCATATGAATTGATAAGCAAAACCATGAGATGTGTTGGGATTGCATGAGTTTGGTTTGACACACAGGTTTCAGGATTATATCGTGAATTTCGAGGAATTAGCCCACTGATTGTTAATATCAATGCTTTGATTCAAATCTTATTTTAACATTCTAACCATGAATATGAAGACTTGCATTCTTCTTCACTATGCTTGGAAGATATTTTATTTGTAATCTTTGGAGGTGACTTCCTCAATTTCAAATTCAGAAAATTTGTATGACCCAAGGCATGGGTAAGAAAACCATGTGGACAACTGGAATTATTTGATCAGGCAATTTATGGAAGACTGTTTCTTAGCAGTATAATAATGCCTATCACATTGACATGGTGGTCTTTCATTTATGAACACAAATCTTTCCTAATGTGATTGTATTTACCTTGCAAATTGGCATCCTTTGTCAGGTACTTTTTCGAAGTCCTTCGGAATGGAGTTGAAAATAGTGGCATAAACTTCTTTCTATTATTGCCTAGATCTCGCTTTTTATTTAGACAAAGTATACAACTGCCTAGATCCTGCTTTTTGTTTAGGCAAAGTACACAACAAGACCATTATCTTTGGTACAAGGAGGTCATAATCAATCACCTTCGCCATTGGCTGTGAAATCGGGCAGCAGGGGATGTGCCATTGATCGGGCTCAAAGCCCAAAAGAAGTTTTTGAACTTTGCAACATGCCCTAGCTGTTTGATTCTACATTTGATGGCTAAGGGGGATTGTGACCTCCTTAAGCCTGAAGTAAATGGTTTTATACACAATACAATCCTTTTGGCTTATTATACACATTTATTGAGCTGTTGGCATCTACTCACTGACAAAGATATTAGTAAAACCAGTTTTGGTCTTGAAGTAGTGGTGTCAGCATATTCAAAACAAACTTGATAAAACCATGTATATTGATGTATCCATTTTCATTAAAATATTTTGGTGCTTGTTTTATGCATCCGGAGGAACTTCACTTACACATAATGACACATCCATTTTCTTGCTCATGTTAAGCGTTACTTCTAGCATGTACTGCAACATATTGTTTCATAATTTCTTTGGTGGATCTATCTTTCAAGTTGTTCTTATCATGTTTTAAGGACATGTTACTTTTGTTTGCAGGACATGTTTGCAATAGAGAAATCCAAGAAGTCACTCCTCGTATTCAAGATTCTTTTGCTGTGCTTTATTGTGATGTATGGAGTTTCTATGTGTGTTGTATGCTTAAATCAAATGAGCACAGATGTGACGCCCAAGTATGTGGGACGAAAGATTCTTCCAATTGAAAAGCCTTGTGAAGCTTATGGTATTGAACCTGAAGATAGTTTATATGTACATTACCCACAACCTACAACATATGGCAGGTATGGTTTTCATCATTTCACTTTGCACGTCACAGTACTCTTTCCTATTTTGTCTATTTACTGACTCTCAAATCTTCAGGGCTGAATGCAAGTGTACTCCCGTTCGTTTTTTCGCAATTGTGTCCATGCAAAGGTCTGGCAGTGGGTGGTTGGAAACATTGCTCAATAGCCACCCCAACATTAGCTCAAATGGAGAAATTTTTTCTGTTAAAGAGAGACGGCATAATGTTTCATCTATTTCCAAGACATTAGATAAGATTTACAATCTAGAATGGACTAGTAGTGCTGCCAAAAATGAATGCACAGGTGCAGTTGGCTTAAAGTGGATGCTTAATCAGGTACTTTATATCATAGTCAGTATCTGAATCTTATCCTGCTAGAATTTAATCAAAGTGTATCTATGAACTATGGAATGTAGTGACTGCACTGCTCTGCGTCTTATACCTGACATAGTTTATCATGAACTGCAAATAATTTTTTGGTGCACTGTCATATGCATTTGTCATGCTATTTGGTGGCAACACTGTTGCCACTTGTATAATTAGGTGTAATCTGGTCTATTTGATCACATTTTTATGGGCTCATGACATTGTCTTCAATTTTTATGACTTGGAACCACACCATTTGCTATTAAATAGTGGTCTAATCCATTCAATTATATGTATCCCACTGTCTTAAAGATTTCTAGAAGATCTTCATTAATGAGAGGGCATTTATATTTATTGCATTACAGATTGACTCTTTGTGAGATTCCATAATTCTGATGAATAGGGCAGAGATTGCAAGATCTTAGTTTTTGAAAGTTCTTGTCAACATGGATGATCGTTTTTATGGGCATGATCTTTATTAGGTAGTTGACATTCTGGTGTGGTGGGTGATAGTGTGATACAATATGATAATCTCTAGGCATTATCATATTCTGGTTGCTTTAATTACCTCATTTGTATGACTTAATGCCTTGTACTTGTTTGGCTATATTGTAAGGGATTGTATAATATGAAACCATTTCTTTTGGTTACAAGGATGACACAATTATTTTTAGCCATTGGATGTGAAATCCAATAGATAAAAGTGTATCATAACATTTGAAAGGGAAGAGATGAAAAGAAGAAGAGAAAGGAGACAAGAGAAAAGAGAGGGGAGAAATGTTTGTGCACGGCAGTGACCCTGTTGTGCCAAACAGGAGAGAGAAAGAAGAGAGAAGAGATGAGAGATACATGACGTGCACAGCAGTGTACCCTGCCATGCCAGACAGAGAGAGATAAGAGAAAGAAATTACGTGCACAACGGTGTACCCTCCATGCCAGATAGAGAGAGAGAAGAGAGAGAAATGTCGTGCATGACGGTATACCCCGCTATGCCAGATAAAGAGAGAGAAATGTCGTGTACCCCGCCATGCCAGACAGAGAGAGAAGAGAGAGAAATGTCATTTTATATCGGATTTGTGGCCAAACAATGACACATCCTCAAACCACAAGATCTCAAATCCAATTGTCAATTGGTCACATACACTTAGCTGGCCTAGACAACAATTGTACAAGTCTTGTCTATGTTTGCTTTGATTTGAATTAGCAGAAGTCATTCTTTTCTCTAGTTGCAAATTAAAAAGGCTCTTTTTTATGCTCAAAAACAAGAAAAAAAATAGAAACATACTGTTTCAACATTGAGTTAATTTTTTTTAGATGATATTTCTTTCTTTTTTTTCTTTTTGGGGTTTGAGGCTCTGTTCATGTTGTCCTATGAGTTTTTGTTCTGATGTTAGCATTAATATTTTCGACTTAAAGAGCATAATTATGAGTGCTTCTTCCCTTTCCAAACACTTGGGCTATTCTGGACATCAAAATTTTACATTTGCCCGCAGCAATTATAGTGCTAAATATAAATAGTGTCACAATTGGAAACTGCTTTTACTATCTTAACTTCCATGTCAGTCCCTTGTATGTTCTGCACTGATGTCTTTCTCACCAAATTCTGAACTGTGCCTATGGAAGTGCTGATCTTCGAGTGCACAATCTAGGTGATTTTTTAGTAAGCAATGAATCTGAACATCCTCCCTCTGCCTTATAATTGTCTCAAATCTTGGAACCTTTCACCTTTCAGATGCCTTGTTCTCCATACACAGCATACAATCCAGTTGTGCCAGCAAACTCCTCCTAAACGTTTCTTTTTTTCCTTTGAAGTTTTCTCTTGTCAGCATTGTGCCTTTCTTGCACTGATTCTTAGGGAGCTTGGCCATCTTATTCTCAAGTTTCATGACAATAAATTTGTATCTGTGTCATATTTAGTGGAAAATAGATAGGCATCACTTAGTATTACTGGAAGGGTTTTAATGAGGGGTAGTGGATTGCTGCAAAGAAGCATCAATGAACAAAATGTAGAACTATCAAAAGAAATAGATAGGCATCACTTAGTATTACTGGAAGGGTTTTAATGAGGGGTAGTGGATTGCTGCAAAGAAGCATCAATGAACAAAATGTAGAACTATCAAAAGAAAAAAGAAAAGACATTAGCTTGGGGGTTGGGCATGTGACGACGAAAGTTTGCGCTTGTGCTGAGGGCAAAGCTCCTATGTTCATTACATGAGACCCTTGTCCAAATAACCAATAATCATATTATTAATGAAGTTGGTTTGACTGTATTGGAACATTTCGTAGTATGCATGATAATTTATATTCTATCAATCTCTATCACTAGTTTTTCTAATGAGAGCCTTTTAATATAAACACTTGTTGCTGCAAATTTTGGTTGCAGCTTTGGATTTCCACTATGTTGCCATTTGATTAAATTTGATGTATCTGTAAGCAAAGATCAATGTTGACAATGAGTGTGCAATATAGGGTCTTCTGGAATATCACGAAGAAATTGTTAAGTACTTCAACCAGAAAGGTGTTTCTGTGATATTTCTCTTTCGGCGAAATCTCCTCCATCGGTTGATTTCTTTACTTGCAAATGCCTATGATCACAAGGCAAAGCAACTCAATGGCAAGCACAGGTCTCACGTGCATTCAATAGAAGAGGTTACTCTATCTGTCTATCTATCTATCTCTCCCCCACTCCACTCACCCGGTGGGGCTCAACTCTTTAAAAATAGCGTCTATTCTCTCTCATACTCTTTAGAGCAATAATCTCTCTCTCTCATTTGGATTAGTTGTTTATTTTATTTTGTATTGAATTCTAGGCAGAGGTTCTGGCGAAATACAAGCCAACTATAAACCATGCATCCTTACTTGCTAGTCTGAAGGATGCTGAAGACATGACTGTGGATGCCATGGAATACTTCAATAGCACTCGCCATATAATTCTCTACTACGAAGATCTCATTAACAACCAAAAGGTACACTGTCATCGTGTTTAATTGATCTGTGTGCGTGTGCGTGTGCGTGAGGGAGAGAGAGGCCAACCCCAAACTGGCTCATGCTAACCCTGTGGCTGTTTTGCAGAAGTTGATGGAGGTACAGGAGTTCCTTTGGGTGCCTCTTAGGGATTTGCAAAGCCGTCAAGTTAAGATTCACACCAGGCCCATTTCAAAGCAAGTGGAAAACTGGCTTGATGTGTATAATACGCTTAAGGGAACCCACTATGAAGTTTTTCTCAATCAGCCAGACTACCCATCTAACTGATATCCCTTCTACATCAGTATACATACCCAAGTTGTGAATGTCCCAAACATTCTCATGGGTGTGTATAAGAGGCTGGCACTTAAGTTTCCTACAGTTGGTTAGTATCCCAGTGTCAATTCAGATGGTTGGGGTGCATCATTGCTTCGCTCAAGGTCTGTTGATCTTAGGAATGGACTCATGGTATAGGTGGTCAAGGTAAAGCATAAAAACGTCTTGAGGTCAAGGTGGAGCATACCGACGTCTTGAGTTTTATTCTTACTATGTGTAGGGACCCTTCCCTACATATCTACCAAAAAAAAATTGAACACATGATATAGGTGGCCAAAGTAAAACTTACCACAATATGACATCTTAAGTTCCATTCTTACTATGTGTAGTACCCTTCCCTGCTTATCTACCAAAAAAAGAAAAAAAAAAACCTGTCGATCTTTTCTGATAGACATATACTGGTCAACTTTTTTTTGAAAGATTATACAGCTAGGACTAGTGTGGTGCCATGAAATTGTAAAAAAGCCAAGTGCTAGCATAAAAGCATTTTCCCTATACACATTTTCTTATTGATTATTCCACAAATCATCCATGCAATCCTAATTGGAACATTTTGTGGACCCTACTTCAACTTCAAGTCATATTATTTTTGGACTATAATGTGGCAAAATACTATGAAAATTCCAGGCAACATTGATAATTGTTCCTCTCTCTCTCTC